CTCTCACCACTATTGTTCAAGTACTAGAAGTCCTAGTAATCAGACAGCAAAAAGAAATAAAAGGTATTCAAATTGGCAAAGAAGAAATCAAACTCTCTCTCTTCGCAGATGACATGATGCTTTATGTGGAAAATCCAAAAGACTCCACCCCCAAATTACTAGAACTCATACAGCAATTCAGTAATGTGGCAGGATACAAAATCAATGCACAGAAATCAGTTGCTTTCTTATACAATAACAATGTAACTGTAGAAAGAGAAATTAGAGAAACGATTCCATTTACAATAGCACCAAAAACCATAAGATACCTCGGAATAAACCTAACCAAAGAGGTAAAGAATCTATACTCTAAGAACTACAGAACACTCATGAAAGAAATTGAAGAAGACACAAAAATATGGAAAAACATTCCATGCTCATGGTCGGAAGAATAAACATTGTTAAAATATCATACCTTCAATGCCATCCCAATCAAAATTCCAATGACATTTTTCAAAGTGCTTGAACAAACAATCCTAAAATTTGTATGGAATCAGAAAAGACCCCGAATCGCCAAGGAAATGCTGAAAAAGAAAAACAAAGCTGGGAGTGTCACGTTGCCCAATCTCAAGCTATATCACAAAGCAGTGATCACCAAGACAGCATGGTACGGGCACAAAAATAGACATATAGACCAATGGAACAGAACAGAGAGCCCAGATATGGACCCTCAACTCTATGGTCAAATAATCTTCGACAAAGCAGGAAAAAAGACAGTCTCTTCAATAAATGGTGCTGGGAAAATTGGACAGCTATATACAGAAGAATGAAACTCAACCATTCTCTAACACCATCCACAAAGATAAACTCAAAATGGATGAAAGACCTCAATGTGAGACAGGAATCCATCAAAATCCTAGAGGAGAACATAGGCAGTAACTTCTTTGACATCAGCCACAGCAATTTCTTTCAAGATTCATCTCTAAAGGCTAGTGAAACAAAAGCAAAAATGAACTTTTGGAACTTCATCAAGATAAAAAGCTTCTGCACAGCAAAGGAAACAGTCAACAAAACAAAGAGGCAACCCACAGAATGGGAGAAGATATTTGCAAATGACACTACAGATAAAGGGCTGGTATCCAAGATCTATAAAGAACTTCTCAAACTCAACACCCAAAAAAGAAATAATCAAGTCAAAAAATGGGCAGAAGACATGAACAGACACTTCTCCAAAAAAGATGTACAAATGGCTAACAGACACATGAAAAAATGTTCCTCAGCATTAGCCATCAGGGAAATTCAAATCAAAACCACATTGAGATACCACCTTACACCAGTTAGAATGGCAAAAATGGACAGGGCAAGACACAACAAATGTTGGAGAGGTTGTGGAGAAAGGGGAACCCTCTTACACTGTTGGTGGGAATGCAAGTTGGTACAGCCACTTTGGAAAACAGTGTGGAGGTACCTCAAAAAATTAAAAATAGAACTACCCTATGACCCAGCAATTGCACTACTGGGTATTTACCCCAAAGACACAGATGTAGTGAAAAGAAGGGCCATATGCACCCCAATGTTCATAGCAGCAATATCCTCAATAGCCAAACTGTGGAGAGAGCCGAGATGCCCTTCAACAGATGAATGGATAAAGAAGATGTGGTCCATATATACAATGGAATATTACTCAGCCGTCAGAAAGGATGAATACCCAACTTTTGAAACAACATGGATGGGACTGGAGGAGATTATGTTAAGTGAAATAAGTCAAGCAGAGAAAGTCAATTATCATATGGTTTCACTTATCTGTGGAACATGAGGAATAGCAGGGAGGACATTAGAAGAAGGAAGGGAAAAATGAAGGGGGGAAATTGGAGGGAGAGATGAACCATGGGAGACTATGGACTCTGAGAAACAAACTGAGGGTTCTAGAGGGGAGGCGGGTTGGGGGGATGGGTTAGCCTGGTGATGGGTATTAAGGAGGGCACGTACTGCATGGAGCACTGGGTGTTATACAAAAACAATGAATTGTGGATCACTACATCAAAAACTACTGATGTATGGTGACTAACATAACATCATAAAATAAAATTTAAAAATAAATAAATCCTTTTAAAAATAATAAAAATAAAAAATAAACCTCTATTTCTTGTATCTTATATAAAAATTAACTCAAAATGGATCATAGACATAGATGTAAAATCTAAAACCATGAAACTATTAGATGAAAACATAGGAGCAAATTTTCATGAATTGGGGCTAGGCAAATATTTCTTAGATAGGATACCAGAGTGATAAATAAGACCATCAAATTTAAGAGAACTTCTGCTCTTCATAAGACACTGTTAGGAAAAAGAAAAGACAAGCTGCGGACTAGGAGAAAATATTTACAAATCACATATCTGATAAAGGACAATACAGAATATATAAAGGATCCTCAAAATGCAGTAATAAGAAAGCAAACCAAGTTTTTAAAGGGGCAAAAGAACTGAATAGACACTTTGCATAGAAGTTCACAATAAGATGTTCGACATCGTTAGCCACTAGGGAAACACAAATTAAAACCACAGTAAGATACCACAACACGTCTAGTAAAATGGCTGAAATACTTTTTTTTTTAATTGATAACCCCAAGTGCTGGTGAGGATGCAGGGCATCTGGAACTCTCTTTCATCCCTGGGGGAATATAAAAATAGCACAGCCATTTCAGAAAGCAGCTCAGCAGTCTCTTATAAAGTAAAACATACTCCTACCACAAAACCTACTAATCCCATGCCCAGGTATTTACCCAAGTGAAATGGAAATTTACAATCACAAATTTAAAAAAACCGTATGTAAAATTTTAGAGCAATGTATTCATATTTCCCCCAAACAGGAAAGTGCCTGACATCTCTCAACTGGAGAATGGATATACAACAATGGAGTATCCCTACAACGGAACCCTACTCAGTCTTAAAAAGGAACAAACTACCAATGCACAACAACATGGATGAATCTCAAGTGCATTGTGCTAAGTGAAAGAAGCCAGACTCCAGGGCTATGTACTACAGGATTCTATTTATATAACATCCTGAAATGTAAAAGTAGAGAGACAAAAAATAAGTCATAGGTTACCAGGGGCTGGGGAGGGGAAGGAAAGGGTGGCTACAGGGGAATTATTTGGAGTGAAAGAACTGTTCTCTATCTTGATTGCCCTGACAGTTAAACCACTCGATGTGTTTGTCCAAACATGCAGAATTGTATAAAAATACAGATGAATTTGACTATATATATATATTATTCCTTAGTGAAAAGAAAAATAAAAAAGGATCACCGTGGCTGTTGGGTTGAGAGCAGACTGTGGGGCAAGGCTGGAAGCAGGGAGACTATTAGGAGCCCAGGTGAGAGATACAGTGGCTTGGATTGAATGTGGCTCTAGAATACAGCAGGACATAAGTTATCCGTGACTTGCAGACACAGTTGCAATGAAGAGGAAAGGGTGAGGGGTGAGGTGAGCGTGTGCAGACAGCACTGGATCCTGGACCACTGACGACGCTTTCAAGAAATCCGCATGGACCCATCCCACTAGATGAGCCCCAGCTCAGAGACTGCCCTGGGACTTTCCCAATTTCCACACTGCAAGTCCTGCATCCAGGAAAACCCTGAAGTCCCAAGCACACCAGGATGGGTGGTCACCTAGGCCTGGTCCCTGACCTGCCCAGGTTGAAGGGCTGCTCCATTCAAGGCCCAGACAGCTACTCTGGTCACCCTGCAGTTGTGCCTGCCCTATGGGCTAGTGTCGCTGCTCTCCATCCCTGACCAGCCTCTAAGCTCCCTTCTGATACTGCTCACATGTGAGAGGCTGCAGGAATGCTTAGTAACAGAGCGGCATTCTGCTGCTTTCCACGTCACCTTCCCTTCAGCCACTTGTATGAAGGCTGTCAGATGACTCTTGATATCAGGAAGAAATGAAAGAGTGGAATCCTCACTCCACTGCCAGGAAGTCGGGAGCACTGAGCTGGGGACGCACCTTTCCCTCTCGTCTCACTTTTGCAATGACTCTCTTGAAACAGATTCCGTGACCTTTGCTTTGGTCTTACCCATCCTGACATCTCCATGGCTGTGCATGTTGAAAACACTCCCTCCTTCTTAGCATCTCTCTGCTTGCTACCATGCTTCCCTCTCCTGGAACTCTTCCTACCTTTCCGATACGTTTCTCAGCTTCCCGATTGCCTAATGAAGAGTGTGCTGGCGGAGCAGTCTGGAGTAACATTTGAGGGTCAAGACTGACATTAAACAGGACCTGAGGGGCGCCTGGGTGGCTCAGTCATTGAGTGTCTGCCTTCGGCCCAGGTCATGATCCCAGGGTCCTGGGATCGAGCCCCGCACTGGGCTCTCTGCTCAGCGGGAAGCCTGCTTCTCCCTCTCCCACTCCCCCTGCTTGTGTTCCCTCTCTCGCTGTCTTTCCCTGTCAAATAAATAAATAAAATCTTTAAAAAATAATAAATAAAAATAAACCGGACCTGGGTTCCAATCCCAGCTTTGTCAATTTCGAGCGGCACGACTTCTGACACATTACTCCTCTGAACTTCAGGTTTGCCCTCTGTACAATGGGTATAGTGTATGCCACCTCATCGGATTATTGTGAGGATGAAATGAAACGAGATTATGTATAAAGGTGAAAAAAGCTCAGCACAAACTTGTAATAGAACGAGCAGCAGATAAGCACAGCTCTTGGTGTTACAACATCTTTCCAACAGTAATATTCAACAACAGGGAGTGGTTAAGTTAGGCTACACCATGATTTATTTATAGAATACTATATGATAAAGCCATTAAAAATAATGTTCTGAAGAACATTTAATGACAAATATGTTCACAATATAATTTTAAGAGAAAAAAAATCAGGTCATAAAACTCAGGTCCCTATTCTGTTCTTTAAAAGGAGTGTGTGTGTGTGTATGTGTGTGGGTGTGTGTGTGTGTGTCATGCATATGTATTTAGAAAAAAAGAAATCTAGAAAATGTTGGCTGTTTTTCTTCTTCTTTACTTCTTCATTTCTTTATATTCTTCTGAATTTTCAAGGTTTCACTAATGAACATAACAATAGATATTTTTGAAATTCGGTCACCAATTTTTTCATCCAACAGATTTTTTTTCCTAGCACACAGTATGTGCCAAGCAATATTTGAGACTCTGGGGATGCTACAATAAAAAAGCTAACAGGCAGGTTTTTCTCAAGATACCACCTAGCCTTGCACTGAATTCTCCTTAATTGTTTTATGCACTCATTTTGTCTCCACAAATAAATTCCTTGAGGGAAGGAAGCACACGGTCCTCTTCTTATCACATCATACTCCATGCACTCAGGAAGAACTCAGTAACGCGTTGGACTTCAAGACCTGAGCTTTGGTTGAAAAGTAGCCAGTTTCCTACAATCGGTTATTATAGGAAGTAAAGAAGAGGTGCCTTCTTATATGGCGCTCCCTTCCTCCCTTGTCCTGGGCATGAGAGGGCTGAACAGTCAAAGCTGCCACCTGTGAACCTTTCTTAGAATGTTTTTCAATGCGTAAATACACAGGACTACAAAAAAAGAAAAAAGGGGGGAAAGAAACTAAATATGCTGCAATACAGTTACCAAAGTATTTTAAAATCCTCTTTAGTATAGTAATAGATTTGCTTCTCTGTGCTGTTTTAAAAATTGCATTTGAAATACAGTCAAGTTAAAAATCAAATTTTAATTTTGAAAGTTAACCCCCTATAAAGACCGCTTTGGCTTACCTTAAATAAGAACATAAAATGGTGGAATGTTTTTTTTTTAAGATAATACGCATGTCCTGTTAGAAATCCAGTTGATTTTGATATTTTTTTATGGTGACAATGTTGAAAATCCAATCCTCAAAGATACAGTGCTGAAAATGGGATTAAAAACCACAGCACTCTCACAAAGATGCGTGTCTCCTAAAGACCACCAAAACTCCCGGAGGCTTTTTAGTGAAACTCTAGTTATAGTGGGTTTGTGATCCTGAGATCAATGAATTCATCTTTGGCTAGGTGAACACCTCTGATGCAATTTACATCAGAAAGAAAAAGCACACTACTCTAGTGTTCAATTTTGTTACCATCAAGATAGAAATAACTTTTCAAAGAGTTCTAAAGTGCTTCCAGGTGTTTGTAGATTACTCTTTTCAAGGAAATTGACAGAATTTTGTAACTCACCTCCATTGAGGAAAAGCACTTGTAAGTTTGCAAAGATGTCAGCCTCATCATCAGCAGTGGAGCCAAGTAAGCTCAGAATGTTTTCAGAGGCATCCATAATGGTGATATCAGGGAATTAAGAGTCATCTCATTCCTATGGTTAAAAATACCTGCCAAGAAAGCCAACCAACCCACAGACAAAATTCTTTCTTTCAAAGTGCTCCAAGAATGCATTTTCTGTTTCTATTAGAAAAAGTAAAACTTGCCTCTTCAAAGTCAGTGAGCTCCTCTAAGGTAGAGAAACCCCTCATTTTCTATTGTTTCTTGACACACCCTTTTGATGAAGTTGATGACTTTTAATGACCACCAACAAAACTTGTCCCAGGATTTTTGGAAAAGCCTGAATATGTCCGTGTTAAATGCAGCAAGTGAAAACACAATAATTCTTCTTTGTTGACATAAGCAGGGTCATCATGAACAAAACAAAGAGGTAGCTATGTTGAAAGAGGTCTATGGTTTCATTGAGTGGCTTGCTGAGGGGAGTGGCAAGGCTGCCAACCCCTCCATAATCCACTTCAAAATATGCCAACCGTTCTCCCCTGACTAGAGAGCCATTTCCCTGCTTCTCAGCATGCCCCGTGCGTGTGGCTTTAGGTAAACTTCCTCCAGAAAAGTGAGCCTTCTTCTGTTTGCCACTTGTGCAGAAACTTCAGGAGGGCTTCCAGAAGAAGTTTTCATGAAACAGCCAATCCACATTTTCGAAGGGTCTTGGCTTTTTCAAACTGAGCTTTCTTCATCCACGTACACACAAAGCTCTTCATTTTCTTGGGTGCATTGTCTCAACTGACAGACATGAGGGACTCTCTCAGTCTTCCCGACTTCAAAATTCCCTTCTCAAGAATCTTTCCACAGTAGTAAGAAAGTCATTGTGGCTTTTATGCCCCATCCCTTCATTCACAAAAAGAAACCAGGTACACAATTTTGATCACACCTTCCTTTTCTTTGCCAGCTCAAGATAAGCTGGGTCTGTAAAAAATAAATAATACATGAAGCTAAACTAAAACATTTTTGTTCTTTGACATTCTTTGAAATGTAATATTTTGTTTATGGTTCCTAAGTAATTTGTTTGATAAAACTACATAGAAGGGAATAATTTGTGTGTTAATTAAGTAAAGTATAAAACATTCATTAAATTTTTTGAAAGGTAAGTAAAATGAGGCAGTTTTTATGATGAGACAGAGTGCTTGCACCGGTAACATCTTCTCACCTTTGTGAAGACCAGGGGATTAGATAGTTGCTCAACAGTCCTGTTCTTGAAATTCAGCGATTGCTTCGTGTGACTGTCTGTGACTTTCTAGAAATAATGGTTCTCATTTCTCATATTGTCACTGTTTCCCACAGAGGTATTCTTTTAAGTGTGTGGCATTTTCACAGAACAATAACACAAGAACAACATGTGAATAATATACTGTGCATGCAAGACTCTACTTCAAAACACAAACATTGTGCAGAGTAAAAACAGAAAAATAAATCAGAGAAAGGACTTCCACTGCTCACAGAGCTTACCACACTGTGCATAACCCATGTCACCATGCAATCTGTTAGCAATCACAAGGAGTTACTTTAAACCTCACACTTCAGCAGTCAGCTCAGCCATCAGACATGTTTGAGCTCATCTATGTCACCAAAGGCTGCACTGCCGAAGGAGAGAGAAAAGCTCTCATTAGAGCAATTCAGATGGACGAAACTTGGGCAAACTATGAAAATGATTCAACTCCTTCTGCATATTGATCCACAAACATTTACAGTTAAGGAATGTTGGAATGCGTGGGTCGCCCCCATGAGAACACTCTAACTCACTGCCCAGTGGCCGCCCTACCCATGCACAGTTTCCAGACAGTGGCCCGCTAGAGTGGAGGAGAGTTCTTCCGGAAGACTGATCCCACATTTCCAGGGTTTATCTAATAGCTTCTGTAACTTCAAAATAGTGGTGGGTGTAAATGATATTTCAGATACGTACAGCAACTGTAATGTGATATGAAAATATTTGTGATTTCCATTGATGACAAAAATCACAGGTCATGCTCATACTAGCAGCCTGTTGTCACACTCATAATTGAAGGAAATGCTACATCTCAGATACAGGATAGTAAAAATGAAGCTGTAATTTTTCCCTACCTATGTTCATGGCTGCTCCAATTTCTATTCCACAGACCGCATGGGCCCATGGATCCAGTTAAGAACCTCTGTTTTATATTGTTCATAGTGGTCCAAGAGAACGGTTTCCAAATTTCAGATAAGAGAAATAAGGAAAAATAGCAAGTTTTTATAATGCTAAATTTTTTAAGCTTAAAAGGTTTTTTTCTTCTTTGCTTTTAAAATGTCCTTTTGATGAAATGATAGAAACAGTAGATAGTAATTTTTTTAAGTCTTTACCAGGTAAAAATGAAAAGTTGGCAATCCTGTCGCCAGTTGCCTCATCCACTCCTTTTATCATGTTTATTGGTCTAAGAAATCCAAAACCTGGGGCTTGGTCCAGGACACCATGGCAAATCCAAAGAGCCCCAATATCTTGTCTCACCTAACAGAACCCAGGTCCATTTACCTGCTCCTCAGGGAAGGTAATCTGTTCCTAGTCCAGAGCAAAATCCTGAGCAGTCTAAGCTGTCATGGTAAACCTACCGCCTGGGCAGAGATTGATTTACAGAGTGGAAACATGCCTCACTCTGACCAGTTGAACCTGAAAATAATGGGATTGTGACTGGGTATCTGATGTCTGGAAATGCTGATCCCACCACCCAGAAGCCCTGCCACCGAGGCATTCCCTGCTATGTGATATGGTTCCTAATTGTTTATGACTACTGAGTTGAGGGATTTCTCTAACATACAAATGAAGTTATCCTAACTGACCCAGCTAGAAACTTTGGGAAGCTTTCAGAAGGGGCATTACCTCTTAAAAAATTGCATCAGGGTATTAAATGAGCTTGCCTGTCCCTGTTTATGTCAATTATCCGTCCTTCAACCCTAACTCAAGCCACTCCCCACCATGTTGCTGATTTTACCTCCTACATATCCCGCAATCCTTCCTATTCTTTCCATTTCCACTGCCAACTCTAGCCCAGCTACTGCTAGCTGTTCAGTCTACACAGCTGATGGGCACAGCCCTCCAACCGGCTTTCTTGCTCCCATGAGGGCCTCTTCCAAACCACAGCCAAGTGATTTTGTTTCAGAGCCGACCAGCTCACATCACTTTCCTGTTTAGAACCTTGCAATGGTTTTCTATTGCACTTGGAATAAAGTGCAAACTACGTAAGTCACCTACAAAGCTCTACAGAACTTGGCCCTCCACACCCCTTACCCCGCCCTCTGGCTGTAGTCACACAGCTCCCCACCCCCACCCCTGCCGCCCCTCCTTAGAGCCTTCAGACCCTTGAGATCTCTGCTCAGCAACCACTTCCTCAGGGAGATCTTTGATGACCACATCTTCCACCAGGACCAGATCTGGCCCCCAATATGTACACTCCACAGCACTCTGTATAGTCTTTCCTCATATTTAACACAATTTTCAATCACCCATTTATTTGTGGGATTAGTTGATGTCTTTTTTCCCTCCTAAAATGTAAGTTCCCTGTCTTGTTCACCACTGCATTCCCAGCCCCTAGAAGAGTGTAGGTCGTTCAAAAGATATTTGTGGAACTAATGGCTGGATGTTCACAAATCATCACAGATAGTCCCAGGCAGTAGCTTGTCTCCAACAAGTATCTGGCTTCAAAAACCTTACACAGGATCCCTGTTCACCAGCTCCCAGAGTCCTGCTCGTGGGCACAGCATCTTTGCCCCTGATTACTCCCTCTCCAGCACTGTGCTGGAGGTGGAGAGAAGCGTGCCCTCCTACTGCTTCTAAGGGTGACTCAAATCTCACCCACACTCCCTCCAAATCATGGAAGGAGGCAAAACTGCATAATGTCTGCTATGGGCTGAATGTTTCATATGTCAAAGCCCTAACATCACAATGTGGTGATACTAGGAGGTAGGGCCTTTGGGACAGGCCTAGATTTAATGAGTTCATAAGGGTAGGATCCTCATGATGGAATTAATGTCCTTATAAGAAGAGGAAGAGGCTAGAATTCTGTCTCTCTCTCTCTGGACTTAGCAAGAAGGTGGCCATCTGTAAACTGGGAAGAGAGATTTCATCAGACACAGAATCTGTGGGCATCTTGATCTTGGACTTCCCAGCCACCAAACTGTGAGAAATAAATGTTTGTTGTTTAAACCATCAAGTCAATGGGTATCGTTACAGCAGCCTGACTAAGAAAACATATCAAACATGTGGGCTACAGAACCAGAGACATACCCTCATTCCGGTTCTGACACTTACATTCCCCAGGATGAGGTAGCTATTATGCCAGAGCCTCAGTGCGTCATTTGTAAAATGGGACAATAAGAGTATGAACCACACAGAGTTGCCGTGGGGATTGAATGAGGAAGGCTCTCAGCAGAATGCCTGGCACACAGTATAAACATTCAGCCACTCTATGCTTGTCTGAGTTACTGTCATAGAGCTGAGGCACAATCTTAGAGATTAACTAGTAAACAGGCTGATTTCACAGATGAGGAAACATGATCCAAAGAGGCTCCAGTGGCAGAACCAGGAGGAGGAGCCAGGGTGGTGGGTTGTTTTCCATCCTAGTGGGTGCTCTGACAGCTCATGGCCCTCCCAGGGCTGAGAAAGAGCCCCGAGAGAGAGGGAGAAGCCAGGGGATTCTTTCCTCCTGGCCCAGGATGGGTTAAACTAAGAAGTGAACACAGAAGGACCAGAGGGGTGCTTCTCTGCCCCCAGAAAATATCCATCCCCCCAGGAGCATAAAGAGGCATAGTCTAGAAGAATGTCCTAATTAATCCAGTACTGTCCATCTCTTTTACCAGGCCGCCCTAGGAAGGACTTTCCAGACTGTTTACTTGGCTTTCTTTCAACACTGTTGGTAGCTTTCTCACTGTCCTGGGACCAACATAAATGAATTTCCTGCTAATAGCATCCTCATCATGCCCACACCCAAATGTTATTCTGTGAGGATGCAATTCAGAGAGCCTCGCGCGCACACACACATCTGAGCAAAAAAATACATTCCTTGGTGCCTGCCTAGTGTTGCAGCCGAGCAGCTGCTTGACAACCAGGGGGAAGGGGAAAAGAGAGAAAGAGCGAGAGGGAGACAGAGAGAGAGAAGAACCTGTAAGAAGTGCATGTGCCCACAGGAGCAACACCATCAATCACTTCTAAAGGGCATACTTCCTCTGGAGAAAAGGTTTAAGGGAATAAGCAAGCAGATGTAATGAAGAATTTTGAATCTATTGATTGAAATCTGTTGTATTTCCTAACTATTGGAGAACACATCATTTTTGCATTAGGCAATCAATTTATGACTTATGTAAATAGAAAACAGAGGAACTTTCCAAGAGATGGGCAAGTTTAGCAGAGACGCCTCACTCTGTTACGCTATGAAGCCTACCTCTCCCTCCCTGTTGTCTTTGTGATGAGGCGCGTCCAGACGGAGGGCCCCCTCTGTTCCTCCACTATTAGTAACCACCTACAGGATGACAAGCAGCTGCTCCCGGAATGCACCGCACTCTCTTTTGTCTCCTGCCTCTGCCAGACCTGCTCCCCTGCCTGGGACCCCCTCCTCGGGCCTCTTTACCCATCCATGCCTGTCCACCATTAGTCACCTGGAAGGTGGCCCCGGAACACCACCTCCCACTGAAGCCTTACGTGGTGTCCCCAGGCACCACTCAGAGCTCCCTGCAGGGGGTTCCAGGGGCACCCTGTGCCCCCGCTCTTATGACAATGATCACACCACTGCAACTACTACTCCTAAGACAGAGATTTCCCCCCCGACATTTTTATGTTCTGATAGGTCACTGTACCTACTTCTATTGTGACTACTCTGCCCACAGGCTCATTTTCAAACATGCCCTTTTTCCACATCTGTATGTTTCTAAGATGAGGATGTTTTGCAAACGTGTACATTTAGTGTGGTACTGTTTCTGATTTTTTTTTTCCCTCTCCAAAACTCTTATTATATTGGGAGTGCATCTTAAAATCAAAGAAATGTCACTTATTCGTGTGTCTGATCTCCCCTCTCCACCATGAATTGTGGGAGCAGGACCTGTGTTCTGACCATCTTCGTGTGTCTCTCCCTATGCCGAGTGCCTGCTCAGCAGCCGCTGCTCAACAGATGGAGGCGTGGGGCGGAGAAGGAGGAAAGAGGGAGGAAAAGGAGGAAGGAGGGGACTCTCTTACATTCTACAGTCTACAGAGCACCTTCACATCCCGCTTTCGCTTAGCTGGAGTTCCCGTCAGAGGGCATGGGGGCTTCTCTCCCAGAGATTCTCCTTGGAGTTTTCCTGGTCACTGCAGTCCAGGCATTCATGTGTGCTCCGGGTCCTCAGCACAACACAGGGCAGTCAGCCAGCTAGGGCACACGCTACACAGGGAGAAGCGATCGGGAGGAAAGTCACAGATTCTGGTGTCCTACAATTCAGCGCCACGGGACAGATGACTCTTCTGTGAACCCTGTCTCCCCACCCCCAATGAGCAAGAGCTCAGCCCAGTGAGCTCCATCACGTCTCAGCTCTTTGTCAGGCCCACCGAGCTGCCAAACTCACCCTTACCTATCCACCTATTTCCCAAGACTCTGGTCAGAGGCTTTTCTCACTGCCCCCAACACATGCTTTGCCAGTGACACGGTCCCTGGCCCTCAGCTCTCCCAGACCTCATCGCCCTCTGAATAGCACCTGCCATCTGAGCTAGACCTATTAGCACCGTTCATACTATTTTTTTACAGCGTTTCCCACAGCAGAGAGCTAAGCACATACCTGATCAGAGTTCGAACATGACTGAAACAAATTAAGATGACAATCAGCTTTTCTGGGCTCCTCTGCCCTTCTTCATTTCCTCGGTCCACCATTCCTTCTGCTCCTAGCCCAGACAAATCCTTCTCAATCTGGTCGGTTGAGAATTATGCCCGTTGCTTCTGGTTTTTCCAGGTATTTTGTTGAGGTACGCCCGGACCATGCTCCAAGCAGCCCCCTGAAGCTCAGGCCTTACCGGACAGCTCTCTGAACTAGGCTCTGTCCTTACAGGCTCTTCTCTGTTCCAGTCAGGTAACCACTTTCATGGATTCCTCTGCAATGTTTTGAACATCAAGGTGGCATTCGCAGTGGGAGAAGGGCCGCCGTGTCACACTGTTGGCCTGTCCAGGCTCCACAGCTGGTTCTATTAGGCTCTGCTGATACGAGCTGCTGTCGAGCCAGGTTTTCATTCTTCACACCGTTAAGGAAACAAAATTCAGCTGAGTAAACTTGAAGATCTAATTGGCTTTATTCAATGATTCATGAATCGGGAAGCATCCCATCTAGCACATACAATGGAGCTCCAAGGGAGCTGTACAAAATAAAAGGCTTTTATAGGCAGAAAGGGGGCAAGATGCAGAGTGGACTGTTTCAGGCAAGGTCACCTTCCTTTGGGTAAAGGCGGCGGGGGAGGGGGCTGTCTACCGGGCAGACGGCCTCACTGGTCCTCACCAGGTGATTCCGGCCCGACTGATCAAAGGTCATGTTCCTGGGAGAGGCTGAAACTGCAATTAGGTTGGGTGCTAAGTCTTGCTTTGTGGATGTGGACCTTAGCACAAGTGACTCCATTTGGAGCCAGTTGTTTCTCTGTTTATCATGAACAAATGATTTCGGGGGTTTGGTGGGGGTTTTTTTGTAAAGATTGATTGATTGATTTTAGAGAGAGTGCATGAGTGTGAAGGGCAGAGAGAGAGGGAGCGGGAGAGAGAATCTGAAGCAGATTCTGCGCTGAGTGCAGATCCTGACACAGGGCTCCATCTCATGAGACATGAGCCTGAGATCATGACTTGAGCTGAAACCAGGAGTTGGACACTTAACTGACGGCACCACCAGGTGCCCCATGAACAAGTGATTTTATAAACCTGAGGGGGGTTATTTACATTTGCCCCTATTAAATTCCATCATGTTTAGCCTTATCATTCTGGCTGGTGGTGACCGTTTGGGGGCTTCACTCCGTCCTTTCAATTCCTCAGCAGGGTGAAAACAGTGTATTCGGGCTTTGTGGTGGGGGGGCATCAATGAAAGCATGTCAGCACCATGTCTAGAGCAAGGCTTTAATTCATTTCTTAGCCCTGAGATCCCATGAGGCCTGGCCCGCTGAGCAGTCTATGAGGGTGCATTTTTATAAGAGCGACACATGCCCAGTAATTACCATCTTATGCCACCCTCTCCCCTGGGCTCCTCCCACAGTGCTCCCTGTCTCACTGAATGGAAGGCATTCCTAATTCCTCCTTCCCCTTCAGGCTGCACGTGGAATCAGTTCTTTAGTCCTATCAGCGGATGTTATCACCTCGGTAAATACCACCATTCAGCCACTGCTCCCTCCCACGTTTCGGCCACACCTTTGTACACCCTACCCCTCCTTCATCTCTTTCTCTAACTTCCATGCTTCAGGCCTCAGTTTGAAACCTCACCTCCTCCAGGAAGCCTTCTCATCCTGTAGATTTCTCATCCTGCCTCCCCAGTGTGGTCCTTTCTCTGTCATATCACCCAGCCACAGCACAGCCATGCCCTTTAACCCTTCCCAGCTACATCTAAGTTCTATCAGGATGGGGGAAGAGTCTGCTTTGCTCATTCTCATACTCCCAGCATATGGGAGATGTCAATAAATATTTCTTGAGTTAGGGGCGCCTAGGTGGCTCAGTGGGTTGAGCATCTGACTCCTGGTTTTGGTTCTGGTCATGATCTCACGGGTTGTGGGATTGGCCCCATGTCAGGCTCCACACTCAGCAGGGACACTGCTTAAAGAGTCCCTCCCTCTGCCTCCACCCCCCACCCCTGCTCACATTTTTTAAATAAATCTTTAAAAAATACATTTCTTGAATTATGGAATGAAATAATGATGCTGTGACCTTGGTTGGGCAAGTTTTGAATCCCTGGCAAGTGATTTGGCTCAACACCCATGAGGCTTCCCAGTATAGGGGAAAGAACACCAGCTTTGGCCTCTAATTAGCAGTGGCACCTGAGTCTTGTCACTTAAACTCCATGAGCCTCAGTTTCCTCATCTGAAAAGTGGGAGTAAAAATTTACCATAAGGGGTTGTCACGATGCTCAAAGGAAATTATGCATATGAACATATTCCCAAACTGAGACAGTATGGTTCCCGGACAGGTATAACCATAGACCCCGATCCCTCAGAGCAGCCCTGTCCTGTCTGCGGAGATTGCACCAGAGACCTGAATGAGCTCAGCCTTGAGCATTGACACTCATCAGTTTGGGTCCAATACTAAGTCCAGCAGAGCTTTTTTATTCTTTCTCAACCTTTTTTGCTGTCTTTATTCTCCTACATTCCTGGGCCACTTCCAGAAGCTTTCATAACTGCCACTTCTACTGCACTCTCTTGGTGGAGGGTTTAATGATCCTGAAGGCCCGAGAAATACATTGAATTAAAACACAAAATGGATGGCACTGTGCATTTTAGTGAAACAGCAATTAGGAGTGGCAGTCACCATGTACTCAGGAGGGCAAGAGAGCTGGGGAGAAAAGGAATAAAGTGACCTCATAAAGACACTTAATTTCATTACCCCTAGACACAGTTTCCCATTACTGCTCTTGGTGCTTAATGGTTTTATGATTCCATCTATTGATGCTTAGCTAGTTCATTAACTGTGCTGCTAAAAATACAATTATCTCCAACAAAACCTTTATCACTAATAAAAGGAAAGGGAAAAAAAAACCTCTGTCATGACCAGAAAGCAGTGGGGCGGACACACCTTCTGTGCCCCAGAGTTTTCGCAGAGATTGAGACTATAACCCACACAATGCAACTAGTTAAGAAAATTCGATCAAGCAACTCCAACTCCAAGCTGCCTCCAACTCACTACTGGATGATTTTTTTTTTTTAAAGATTTTATTTATTTATTTGAGAGAGAGAGAGAGAGAGAGAGAGAATGAGAGATAGAAAGCACAAGAGGGAAGAGGGTCAGAGGGAGAAGCAGACTCCCTGCTGAGCAGAGAGCCCGATGTGGGACTCGATCCCGGGACTCCAGGATCATGACCTGAGCCGAAGGCAGTCGCTTAACCAACTGAGCCACCCAGGCTCCCACTACTGGATGATTTTGTGCACTCAAATGACATTGGCTTTGATTGAGTCAGCTGAATCAACCTGTCACAATGCTGGTGATGGATGTGGCATATAAGGATCCTCTTAACCATTCATTCATTCAACAGGTATTTACTAAGCCCCTACTAGGTGCCAAGCACTGGTTAGACACACAGAGACACTTAAAATAGGTAGGGTCATGTTAAAAGGAAGCCCACAGTCTAGAAGACAATGTGTGTCAGTTGGAATCAGAGGACAGAGAATCCCAGTTACTGAGCTAGGGCTCAAGCGGACCTCCACTCCTGATTGGGAATGGGGAGGGAAAAGTGGGTGCTGAGCAGGGCAGAAGGTGACAATGACTTTCCAAGTTAGCATAAAGGCCATTTAGGATCTGTCCTCAAGCCCCACCCTTTTTAATCTCTCTTCAGAGCCTACAAAAGGTGGGAAGGGAAGCCAGTACAAATAACCCCGGGCTGCAGCCAGGACGGGACTAGGACCTAATAAAAATCTGTGTAAAGGGACGCCTGGGTGGCTCAGTTGGTTAAGCATCTGTCTTCGGCTCAGGGGATGATCTCAGGGTCCTGGGATTGAGCCCCGAGTCGGACTTCCCGCTCAGCAGGGAGTCTTCTTATCCCTCTGCCTCTGCTCCTCCCCGCTGCTCGTGCTCTCTCTCAAATAAATAAATAAATCTTAAAAAAAAAGAGAGAGAAAAGAAACAAGTCTTAGAATATGTTCATTCTTTAAAAGAAAAAAAAAAAAAAGGAACCCAGTAGATCCAGCCCAGAGATGCTGGGGAAAGGAAAGCCAAGGGCTGAGTCCCTGATACTCTCCATCCCAGGCCTGGGAGAGCCTGCAGTGTAATCTTTTGGGTCTATCAGCATCATGTTTGTATCAGGCTGATCATCAAGGCTGTCATCTAATTGCATTGGTGGTTTTTGCTTCTTATCTCATGTACTTCTCCCTCAGCCATTCACCCTGTGACTAGAGTTGAGACAACTCATGGCTCGTTTGTGCACTTTTTAACGCATCTGAGGTTGAGACGTATGAATTTAATTGGCAATTGGCACTCAAGTCTTTCCTGAAAAACTGTTATCTATAGCGCATCTCATAATCAATGGCATCTTAAAAGTAAAGGATTGTGGTATTAACAAGGAAAACTGAGGACCTTAATGGGTGCCAGGCCCTACACTAGATGATTCCATGGCCCTACCATTTCATCCTAGAAGCAGGCCTATGAGGGACGTTTTATTGTTCCCATCTTTATGAACAGGACACAGAGGTCAGAGGGCTGTAGCTCACTAGTGTTGGAGTTGGCACCATGAAGCTCTGCTCCATTGTGCTACCCATCCTCACAATTTTGAAAATTGAAATTTCCAGGAGGAAAGGCTGAAGAGCAGCTTCTGGAATAACCTATTGGTGTCAGGAACCCTCTAGCGGGCCAGCAGTAAGTCTGAAGTGACACACAGAAGCAGGGCAGAGAAGACTCCTATGGAGATTCAGACTCTCCCCAGGGCCTTCCGGATGGGACCGTGGCCCCTCTGGCCAACCCACCTAGTAAGCATCTCTGCAAGACAGAAAAAGTGTTAGAGCTGGCCCTGCCGTTGAGGTGGTTCCAATGCAGTTAGGGAGATAGATAGATGCACAAGAAAAGATGAAATGACAACAGGTAGTACTGTCGAATGCCACAAATATGGGACAATGTGTGTGCACAGGGCTCCAGGGGATGGAGAGCTTCCCGGGAGCTGCAGGCCATCCTCATACTCCAATTTGCTTTTGGGGAGAGAGTTTCTGAGTGCTGGGAACTGCACTGGCTTTTCTGCTCCCTTCGGGTCCTTACAGTGTAGGTCTTGTCATCCCTATTACACAGAAACCCTAGATCGCACAGCTGGTGAACCGTCAATCTGGATTTGAACCTCAGTCAGGCTTAACCTTCAGCCACACCATGTCATCAGTGTATGTGTGTGTGTGCACACGCTAACACATGCATGCACATGGGCATGTGCTCACACACACACACACACACACACACACACACACACACCTTATCTACTGTCTACAGAGGCGATTATTTTTTGGAAAAAGCAACATAGAACATACTGCCAGATGCATTCAGAGAAGCCAAGTCTTCCATAATCCTTCCTGGATATTA